AGAGTGATATAGTAAATATAGTGTTTTTTTCTTTTTTTTTTAGTGACTCATAGACATGTAAAATAAAACTGTTCCTTGCTGTATTTTTATGTGATTCTTATCCCCTGCATTTCTATTTGGATAGGAACTTGAAAGATACAGGAAATTAGCAGAGCGGAGATCAAAAGGAACTTATGACAATGACTATGTAGCAGCTTAAATGTTACAAGGATGAAAACTTGAATAGGTCTTCATTTCAGGTTAAAATGTGTCTGGATATTTTTCCACAAGTTTGTACCTTGATTGTGAGCCCAAAGTGAAATGTATTGAAAAGACTACTAAATGAATATTTCTAGATGATGTTTTATATTTTGCTCTATCTGTGATATGAAGTCCATTCTTATTTATTTGAAATGAAGCACATATTTTTGCTACTTAAGTTAAACTTTTGTCTCTTTGTTACTCTGTGTTATTATTGTTTTCTATGTTTACATTTACTCATATGATGTATCCAGTTGAATGAAATTGTCTCTTTTGCTTAAGATGTACTGAGAATTTGAATATATTTTCAAGTTGCTTCAAAACTAATTGTTACCCAATGTGATAGAACATAATCAGAATGAAAATGAAAAAAAAAATGTGAGGGTTTTTTTTGTTCCCATAATTACTTCTGCTATAAAATCTTAATGACTAATTTGCGCAATATTTTTATTGAGATTATAATTTTTTAAAATTTCACTAATTTAACAAAATATGTGTCCCCCCGGAGAATTAAACCGCTTGGCTACCTATCAAGGCGGCTCGAGCAAAGTTGTGTTTATTGCATGCCTGAAGGCAGCACATAAAACTCTCTTCCTGATACCTCTTGCCCCTACTGATCCTGAAAAGAGATTGGACTATAGCGCTATGAGTATGCTATTAGCATGAAAGTTGTGCTGTGTAAAAGCTATTTAAAAAAATAGATAAAAAAATAAAAGTTTCCTAGTGGAGACTTGAGTTACCTTGGACCCATTAGTTTTCACTGTCTTATATATATGTCAAATGTATAAGTAAATAAAACAAATTTTGTCACATCATTTTTTTTTTTAAACTTCTGCCTGTTTATCAAAAAACAATAACCATACCTAACCATGAGTATATTTTTAAGGAATTTAAAGTTACCAGGTACCCATGACAATAATCACAATAATGTTTAAAGAACTTGAATAGCTCAGTGGCAAACACATCTGCCTTCCATCATGGAGACTTACCGGTATATTTGGGCTCAAGCAAATTTTTTAAAAAATGCTTTTGAATAGGCACAGCACAGAAACCTTCTCCCAGATACCCTCCTCCACACCAACTGGCCACAAAAGTGATTAGACCATAGCATGCTTTAAGTATGAAAGTTGTGCTAAACAAAAATATTTTTTTTTTATAATAATATTTCAAATTTTGGGGATGCAGCGGCTGAGCGTTAAAGCACTTTGGTTCCAAACTGGGTGTCCCGGATTCAAATACAGGTGAAGACTGGGATCTTTGGGCACTTTGTCCATCCAGCTCTAATGGGTACCTGACATTACTTGGGGAAAAGTAAAGGCAGTTGGTCTTTGTGCTGGCCATATGACACCCTCGTGGACCACAGAAACAGATGACCTTAACATCATCTGCCCTATAAATCGCAAGGTCTGAAAGGACAACTTTATGTTATTCTAAAAATAATTCAAAATAATTGATGCAATTCCACTTACTATAAGCAAAATTCAGAGAAAAAAAGTATTTTTTATATTTTTACTTATTATTAATATGCCAGTGCATGTGTCTTAGATTTTATGCTGAAAATACTATTAAAACTAAAACTAATACTAAAACTTAAGGTCTGATTTTATTCAATTTATGTCACGAAAACAATACAAAAAAAAAATTATAGCCAGGTCTTCTATGAGTTTTATTGTTGGTTTAAATGTCATTTTGTTATTGTTTTGTTTGTAAAAAAAAAACAACCTTGGTTTATAAATTCAAACAATAAGCTACATAGTAAGTTTTAAGCCACAAATTGCATTGTGGGATGGAATCGCTGCTGCCCCAGCTGCTGATATCCCAAAAGAATCAGCCATGGCAACAATGGCTATACTATATTCTTTGTTCTCTGGAGCGATGTCATTGGTGATTCTAAAGAAAGTGTTCACATAGGCGGCACCACCAAGAAGCCCTTCCCACAGCACAATAACAAACACAATCCATATGTTGGGAATAAATCTGTAAAATACTTGACACAGTAACAAAATCATGTTGGCAAACTGTAACACAGGTAGAATCCAAAGTTTCTTTATGTGAAGCAGGTTAACAGATGATCTTGAGATGAACACACCAATTTGGTAGTCCACTTGGTACCATCTGTACTGTTCACTTTTAGACAGCCATTGTCCATTAAAGTACAGAAACTCATGCAAGCCTTGGTTGATGAAATATTCTCCAAAGTATACTAAAATCAAAGGAACCATATATTTCAACAGGTTGGGAATAAGTTTAAACTTGTCTTTCAGAATTAGTTTTTTCTTTAAGGTTACATCTTTTTTCTCTTTTACGTCTATTTTGTCATTAACTTTGCTGCTTATCATCTCGATATCATTGTCTTCTTTCAACTCTGGCCGTGTTAAGATAATGAAATAAGCCACTATCATAAGAACAGGAATTGTAACCATTATCAGCAAAGAATTTCTGGGTGAGAGTCCAGCACTCGTAAAGCCAGCATACACCAGAGAGCCAAATATTCCTGCTCCACCTGTTCCAGAAGACCACATAGAAACAACATTCCTGTTGTAAAAAGTGGTGAGGCTCAGAAAGGCCAACTCACCTAGTCCTGCACTGATGCTGGCAAACACAACACCTAAAATACTCAACCACATCTCATGGGCTAGAGCAACCATCAAGAAACTCCCTAGTGCAAAGGCTGACACTAACGTTATCTTCACATTGTAAGGAATTCTTTCCAGGAAGAAAGGAAAGGTGAGCTTCACTGCCAGTGTAGGCAAGATGTCTGCCAGTAAAATGGCACCTGTGCTAACCTTATTACACTCCAGGTAAGTGATATTAGAATCATCAGAATGTACATCTAAAGGTGAAGTTAAATTCTTGCTACTTGAAAAGTTGTTTGCTTGCTCCGTTAGATTGCTGGATGAAGTTTCTTCTTCTTTAAGAATATCATGAGCAGCACTAAGCATGACTACATATGCAAAATTATTGCACAAACCAAACAACCAAAAGGCTACCAGGTTCCTGTAGTGAGCTAACTTTTCTTTACTTGTTGAAGCAGCAACAGTTCCTTTAGAATCCAAACTCAGTTCTCCATGTTTAAAAACCATTCTTTAACTAATGAGTTATAATAATGAGCTTACAATTGATGACTAGACTGCATTGTGCGTACAGTCTGTTGAATTTTGTCAAATAAAACTGATCTACTAAACAGAATAAAAGAGCCTGATCTACTAAACAGAAAAAAAGAGCCCAAAGTTCAAGAATCCACAAAGAACTGATAGCCACATTCTATAAGTGAAATAAGAGATGGCTTTAAGCTGATAACAAAAAAGTGATCAATATAAATAATACTTATGAAACTAGTGTGACATTCAATCCACTTGTAGACACTTAATGTGATCTTTAATAAACTAAGTTTATATCTGACAAGTCCCAACAGACCTTTTCAATTTATGAACTCATTTGTTTAACGCTATCATATGAGAGTTGATCTTATCAGTCATAGTTTGTTTATGTTTAAACTTGACAAATTCACAATAATGTTGTCATAAAACACCACAATTAAACTTTTCAACATTAAATTAATTTTAACCATTTCCATACAGATTATAAGAAGCATTGTCACACACATACACAAATCAAAAGAAACATGCATGACTAGATGTATTTAAATTAAAGGACATGTTTCTCTAATGTGTCGGAATGAAGAAGCATTGAAAAGTGCTACCAACTATTTTTATTACATCTGTTAGATGTCTGTTTAAAGTAATGTATTATTTTAGTACATGTATTTTCCTTTGGATATTCTAGCATCATTTACATCTTCAATTGACCTCTTAAGAGTTTAATAAGCACATGAACTCACAGAAGCACTTGCACAAAGTTCTGCAAGACAGCAAGAGATGGCGGTGTAGGAAGTTGTAAAACAGTAGTACCCAAGCACTGATTTGACACACACCCCCAGCCCTTTTCCCTCATGCAAACGAAGTTAAACCACACACAAAAAAATAGTTTAAAATGCATTGGATTATGTTTTGATAAATCAAGAAACAATCAAAATATAAAAATACTTTTTTTTTAAACAAGGGAAATAACTTCACACTTACAACTATATCTCACCATAATGTAGAAACTATTTCCCTTTTTCAATTCCAAGCAAAATAATTACTTATCCATAATTAATTGACTAATTGGTTAATTTTTAATTGATTCATGAACTATGCATGCCAAGAGTTGTGATGACATGGAGGCCAATATAAGGAAAGCGCAAACAGGGACGTCCTCGTATAACTTGGTGCCACACCTTCATGGAGGACCTCAGGACAAAGGACACCAGGTGGGAGGAGAACTCAGACATTGCTAGTGAAAGATCTTTGTGGAGACAGCTTGCCACCTAAAGTGCCGAACGGCACGGAAGGACCGAAGTAAGTAAGTCATGTTTTGTTAGGTACAATAAATAATTGTTTAAAGTTTCAACCTGATCCAAGAATGGGTGTGAGAAAAAAAATGTGTACAATTATCTAAGGGGACAAAATCCCACATATTTAGCCATATTTGTGAATACTGAAGCATTAATTTCCCTTGTTGGTATCAAATAAAATAATTAATTACCATTAATTGATAATTGTTTTTATTGATTCATGAATTGTCTTTGCCAATAAATAATTGTGTAAAGTTTCAACTTGATCCAATGATGGGTGTGGTAGAAATAATGTGTTCAAACTTTTTACCAGACAGACAAACAGACAGAGTGAGTTGATAAAGGCTTTGTAAAAATATTTGTAACCTGTATTTATTACATTTTTTAAAAATGTATTCCTTTTTTTTTTTAAATCTTTAAAATCACCTTTTTTAAAAGATGATACTTCTATTATACTGGTACTACCTACATTTGATCAAATATTTTTAATCTACAACAAACAGTTTTTATATCAGAATATAACAACACTTTAACTACAGGATAAAAATAAAGCTAATTGCAAACACAAGTACAGTCAGAAGAAAAGAAAAATGAAGATTTGAAAAATATATTCATCAATGTTTATTAACGCTTACAAGCAGGGCCAGATTTACTTTAGGCAACACAAGCTATAACTCAGAGCCCCTAAGAAATATATATTATCAACAACTTTGTCTAGTAAAATTGTAATGAAACAAAAACTTTGGGACCACCTCCATACTTTCATGTTATTAAAATAAAAGACAAAAATTAAAATATGCAACATACATGAGACTTCAATAAAGATGGTTATTAGATGATCTAAAAGTAGGTGGAGAGTATGTAAAGTAGGGTAACATATCATCCATATTCTTTTTATTATAACTATTGGCCATACTTGATCTTAAAAGATTTTTTTAGGATCACTCAAGGACAATGTTAATAGTTATAAAAAAAAAAAAGGTGTCATTGATTTGAAAAAAAAAGCATAAAGATGCATTTCAAGAAATCAAAATATCCAAAGAGACTTATCCTCAAATGTTTGTCAAAGAGTATCAGGCAGACTTCTAGGTTGTGTACATTTTTATGAAAAACAAAAAACTCCAGTATTTACAAATTTGAAGGGCTTTTGTATTATTGTTTGCAATAAAAGTTAATTATGAACATAAAAAAAAATAAGTTAGTAAATATAATCATAGTTATAATTTGAAAGAAATGCTATTATTTACTGTCCATCTACTTTTGGAACACCCTGTGTATTATAAATAATGTTTCTGTGACCAAAAAAAACCCAGCTCTGGAAGGTCATCAAAAGGAGTTTTTCTTTTACTTCTCTAATATTTCTTATCTTATCTTATATGATACAGACGTTACTTTAAAAAAGAAGATGATTGCGTCCTATGGGTCATGCATTTAGTCATGCATATTTTAAATTAAATGCAGCGAAATCAAATACATCAAATACTTTATCCATTTCTGTTTTCTTTTTAGTCAATTTAAACTGCTCAAAATACTCATAGTCATGGTCTCACTGTAAGTAAAATATTTTTTTTTTAAATTAGGGGATGTACAATTGCTGATAATAACACTTTCAAAGACATTTTAACATCTTAAAATATTTCCAAGAGATTTAATGGTTCTAGCTGTTTAGGTAAATGTTTAGATACAATGAACAAAATCAGATTGATGACATTTCAAATTACAATTCTGCCATCTACATCTAGATGTCAGTATACAAATCTGTTTAATACACATATTACCATTATGAATGTCAAAGTTGATAATGAATATAATTTTAGTAACATGAAAAACAAGGCAGAGCGTCTGGGCAAAACTCCACATCTTATGCTTTATCTAATGGAAAGGTTTTTATAAGAAAAAGTTTACAAATAGAACTAAGTAGATTAAAAGAGAAAAAGCAAGCCTTTTGTTTTAAGTCCACAGTGTGATAGGTCTAGTTCATAGAAACATTAATGGGAGCCATTTTTGCTTTCTCTGTCAGACTAACAAACATTTCTTATCAAGGGCCCAGAAAAACACCTTGACTAGATAATGACCCATTGAAAGAGGAACATCACTGCTAAAATATGTAGACACACAATTTTGTGTTCCAGTTCTTTTGCAAACTCAAGATTCTAATTTCTTTCATTCCTCTCCTACAATTAGGTTAAGGAATGGAAAGATCATTCAAGAAATTTGATGAATTAACAGACATTAGAAGAAAAACAAATTCTAAATGTTCATGATGTTGTACTTCTATTTGTGTAGCTGAGAGGCGTTAACCACTTGGCTACCCATCTAGGGTAACCCTAACCCTAACCCTAAACCGGACTGAACTGAGTTGTGTTTGCTGAGCGCCTAAAGGTAGTGCAGAAACCTTTTCCTAGATACGAATCCCTCCCGACAGGTCCACAAAAGACATTGTCCTATAGCACACAGAGCATACTGTAAGCATTAAAGATGTGCTACACTAATTTAAAAAATAATAATAATAGATAAAGCAAACAACTTTTGAGTATAAAGAATACTTAGTCTAGTATTTTATACATAGATGCTAACAGCTGACATTATCCTTCAAACAGGTTTCCAATTTTAATGCTTCATTAAAATACAAATGATGACAAAAAATAGTACAGAAGGTAAACACTGATATTGTTTAAAAATAAAGCAGATCAACTTTTTCTTTTTAATCAAAAAGAAGTTTACAAGCAAATACAACACCCTTGAACAGCAGTTAAGCAAGCATTTTATGAACACTAACTTGCACTTTTATGAGCATGTGATCATCATATTATTATTAAATATTGTAGTCAGCCTTAAAAAAAAAAAAATATCTCCCTAAACACATCTGATAAATAAAGAAAATTTATATATATTTAATAATATTATACTTTTTTTTCCTTACAAATCAGTCATAATAGTATAATAATGATCATCTTGTAAAAAATTGACAATAAATTTTTTTGTTTTCTTTAAATCATCTACATTGTTATTTGTAAATTGCAAATGGCATTATGTGAAGGAATAGCGACTGCCCCTGCCACAGCAATACCTATTGAGTCTCCTAAAGCAGTGACTCCAATACAATATTCTTTCTTTTCTGCTGGTATTTCATTGGTGATTCTAAAGAAAGTGTTCACATAGGCGGCACCACCAAGAAGCCCTTCCCACAGCACAATAACAAACACAATCCATATGTTGGGAATAAATCTGTAAAATACTTGACACAGTAACAAAATCAAGTTAGCAAACTGTAACACGGGTAGAATCCAAAGTTTCTTGATGTGAATCAGATTAACAGATGACCTTGAGATGAACACACCGATTTGGTAGTCCACTTGGTACCATCTGTACTGTTCACTTTTAGACAGCCATTGTCCATTAAAGTACAGTAACTCATGGAGGCCCTGATTGATGAAATATTCTCCAAAGTAAACAAGTGTTAATGGAATCATGTATTTAAATAAAGCTGGAATGAGCAGAAGTTTTTGCTTGATAGTGAGTGAATATGTTTTACGATCATCTTCCTCTAGCAATAAAGAAGAGTCATCAACTATTTTTGTCTTCCTCTGCGCCTTAGTGAGTACAAAAAAATAAGATATCATCATAAGAACTGGAACAACTATCATTATAAGCAAGGAGGTCCTTGGTGAAAGTCCAGCACTAGTAAAGCCAGCATACACTAAAGCGCCAAATACTCCGGCACCCCCAGTCCCTGATGACCACATAGAAACAACATTTCTATTATAGAATGTAGTCAAGCCTAAGAATGTGATTTCCCCGAGGCCAGCTCCAATACTAGCACATACAACGCCAATTATACTTAGCCAAATTTCATGAGCAAGTGCAACAATTAGAAAACTACTCAGAGCAAATCCAGAAATAACCGTTATTTTAACACTGTAGGGTATTTTTTCTAAGAATAATGGAAATGTAAGCTTCACTATCAGTGTTGGTAATATATCAGCCAATAAAATAGCTCCAGTGCTAACTTTGTTACATTCCAAATAGGTTTTATTTGAAGCAACGGGAGCCTCTGTCGTGGTTTGAGAACTTATATTAGTGGTAGGATTCTCTTCCTCTTTCAAAATATCATGGGCAGCACTCAACATTACTACATATGCAAAGTTGTTACACAGACCAAAAATCCAAAATGCTGACAAATTCCTCCAATAAGCTCTTTTATATTTTTTACCTAAAATGGCTTCCATGTTGTCCTGTGAATCTGATTCTTCAGGCTCAGAGGGTACATTGCTTGTGTCCATATTGTGTATCATATGTTACATAAACATTAAGAATGAAAGTCAGATAAAATATTAGATCTATATTTACACAGAACCTGAAAGAGTGAAACATTAAGACCAAGTCCTAAGAGTCAGTTGATTGTGATTGAGTTGATGGCAAAGATCAGATGAGACTCAGTCGTCTCATTCTCATTCGTCTCAGATTGATAGTATCAGTGACTGAGTCTGAGTATTAGTGACTAAGTGAGAGATTCAGCTACATCTAGAATAAGTCTAAATCTAGATGTATGTAGATAGGGATCTAGAATCTATAGATATAGATCTAGTCTAACCATAGTTCCACAACTGGTAAACAAAATAATCGGCCATTTTCAATAACAAAGTCATGTGAAAACAGGAAGAAAAAAAAAGCTAAGCTCAGTACCATCATCAAATGTTCATTTCTAAAAATAGATTACCTCATTAAAAAAAAATAATATTAATAAGGCTTGTCTTCGAGTCCGAAGATTAATGAGGAATGCAGTAGACTTATGTCCCGAGGCTAAGTTGCTACAACTGTGAACTACATATTTTGCCACATCCAGAGCAAGCATAACCAGCGGATTTTCTTTTCTTCTTATTTTATCTTATATGATACAGAGGTTACTTCAAAAAAGAAGATGATTACGTCCTACGCGTCATGCATATTACCCAATGACCTAAACTCCGCCAAGTCACTGGTTTTCCTTTTGGTCTCAAGTGTGTATCCCGGGGCCTTTGTGAATGACCTACATGGAGCTGTCTCAACAAGGTGCTACCTCATAAACAGCAATATAGGCATAAAGTAAAGAAACCTAGAGCTTGGACTACTTGGAGTCTCAATTCCACAGAGGGACTCCCCGAAAAACTTAGAGAACCACTGATTTATAAGATCATTTTTTAATCAATGAAAAAACTTTGATTAACGACATCACTAAAATTTCTATCTTAGGAATCTAGGAAAATTTAAAATTGACAAAACAATCATTTAACTTTTTTATACAGCTACCACAATCATGTCAGTAGTCTTCGCCATCGTCTGTGTCAGGGTGGGATGTCAGCTCGTTGACTTCGGGGTCAAAAGTTGAACGATAACGATCCGTTAACTTGTGTAGTTCACAACAAAATCGTAAGTTTATAAATTTAATAAGCAAATGAAATGTTATCATATAATGATGAAGGAATAATAGATCTAGTAGCATTTACAAGACAAATATAATTTAAACGTATTACTCAAATAACATAGCACACCTTAATTCTCAATGTCACCACTAATCAGGGCCCGGAAAGCCCACAACCTAAGCCATGGAGGCAACAACCAGACCATACAATGATTATCAGGCTTGGCTTCAACAGAGTCCCAAGACTGCGTCTCCAATATTGGGGAAGAAAACACCAAAGAACGCAACTCAGCAAAGTCAGCACAACCCCAACAAAGGCAAAAACGTAATGACAACAAGGCGCACCGTTAGGAACAGAAACTCACGAAACCTTATGGTGCTCAGAAGAAATTACCAAGCAAGATGCGCACGACAGTCTGCTGGTATGGTAGTCTACGTGTTGTATTATTATAATATACTTCAAAGACATAAAGGCATCGACTAAAACAGAAGCGGCCGTAGGGGTTGGCGAGTAAGGCAACTAAATCGCCTCTGACTATAGACTAATTTTTTTAAAACATTAAACACAGCTACGACCATTTCTTGAAGAACTATAGATGTAGATCTATTTCATGAATGATGTTTTTCCAAAACATGTAAAATACTTAGAAGTCTATTTAATCATTTGCATCCATTAGGCCTATACATGCAATTACACCATGCAGGCTCA